AAACGACTGTGTATTTCTTAGATCTGTAAAGAAACAAATGAAAAATTGATTTATATTTGTCTAGTTGTAATTACATTTTTTTTGTTATTTTGCGGATATCAAACAAAAGAAAAAAAGAGAAAGATAAGTAAATCTAAAAAAATCAATGACTTAAATATGTATCGCATTATGATGATTAAACTACATGACGTATACGGTCAAAAAAAGCGATTTTCTGTTGGGATTATTGTTGGACGGTCCAAGAATACTGGTGGATTATTGTTGGCGGTCCAACCTGGACCACCTAAGAAAAATTGTAGAATCATACGGGTCACGTTTGAAAGTTTTCCACCGCTGCGGATCGGATTGGATCGGGTCAAAAAGTCTTCTGGTCGGGTCGGGTTCCGGTCAACGTAAAAAATGTTGATTCGGGTCGCATCCGGTTCGGATCAACTCATGTTCGGGCCTGGTCGGGTTCGGGTCACGTTTGGTTGACCCGATTCGGTCTCTGGTACATACAAACATACATGCAGGTATTTTAGTCTCGATAAGACCCTAGACTAAAGTCAAGAGAACTAGACATCTTGGGACGTTTATGGATGTGAAACTTGAGTTTTCCAAAGGTATTATCCTTAGAAAATTTAGGCTGTCAAAGTTTGAAAAGCACACATTTTTGACTGTTTTCCCGAACGGCCTGTTTGTAGAGAATCACTCATAAATTGTTTTCGAGTGCTGAGTTGCATAGTTCTCTACTCATTGTCTTTGATGAAAATCTTCGTTTTTCAGCTGTATGCGGCAACGCCTGCCAAAATGGTGGAGCTTATACAGCTCCCAATGTATGCACGTGTACATCGGGCTATACGGGAAGCACATGCGCTACGCGTGGGTATTTTATTGAGCTTGTGGTTCCGCTTCAAAATATGGTGTAGTCCGGTGTTTTTCAAATAACGTTTTAATGATTGAAGCAAGAAATCTGAAATTTCTAATTTTAATCAGTAGACGCCTTTGGACGTTCATCCATGTGAAAGTAATTTTCCGACGGCATTATCCTCAGAAACTTTAGCCTGAACAGTTTGAAAACTCTAGTTTATAGAGAATTACACATAAATTGTTTTCGAGTGCTGAGTTGCATAGTTCTCTACTCATTGTCTTTGATGAAAATCTTCTTGTTTCAGCTGTATGCGGCAACGCTTGTCAAAATGGTGAAACACACAAATTTCTTATCATGACGAACGGACGTTAGTTTTGTCTTCTTACACAACTGTCTAGTATTTTTTTATCGCAAATAAATTATATGAGTCATGGATAATAACAAATTAAAAAGAAACAATATTGCAATACGTGACAAATTCAGTAAGAAATTAAATAACTTATCCAATCCAATGTCTTCTACTCCTGCTTCCGTCGATGATCAACTAGCTTCCGCCATCAAGCAAACAATTTTGTCTACTGAGTTCTTTGATTCTCTTCAGCAATCACTGGCTTCTAGTCCGCTCATTACTGAATTATGTCATCAAATAACACCATCAGACGTTTTCATCAAATTATTTACATCTACTGTGTCATCTAAATTAATAGAACAGCAACATCTTATTGAACACTTACAAAAAACAATTGATGATCTAGACGAAAGCGTGGCTGATCTCGAAGAGCAGGTAGATAAATTAGAGTTAAAGTATAACGAGCTTGAACAATACAATCAGCGCAAGAATTTAATTATTTGTGGAATTCCCGCGACGCAAAATGAAAGTACTGATAAAATTGCCGTTGAAATTGCGAAAATAACCGGTCACTCGCTTGATACAAAATTCATCTATTCTTCTCATCGTTTACCATCTAAAACAAATAATTCAGTTCGACCGATTGTCGTCAGTTTCTTACGTTATTCAGATCGTCGAGCTATCATAAAAAATCGAAGAAAATTACGTGAAAACCAACGATATAAAAATGTATTCATAAATGAACATCTAACACCGCGTAATAACGGTCTTTTCCAATGTGTTCGCCAAAAATTGAATAAACGTAGTGTCTACACAAGAAATGGAAATATTTTTTATGTTGATTCATTTAATCAAAAACACCGAATTACATCTACGGTAATTATCGATAATTTGGCTCAAACAGCATTGTGTCAATGAGTACGGTTAGTGGAAAACATTTCTACTACGTTTCGTGTCTTTTGATGATAATCTCAGCTGATATGTGTCTTTCAAAAACTTTACAGCTGCTGACAGCTGATTACTTTTTTTTCGTTGAATCTGTCTCCCTGTTTCGTATGGCGAAGTTTTTAAAACAGATATTCTATATATTTGTTTTCTGTCTTTGTCATGTGAAACGCCCAGCAAATTTTTTCTTTGTTTGTTTTCTTTCTCTACTACTATCACTGTGCTCT